ATTCTATCTACTTATACATATATATATGTTATTCTATAATATATATAAATTTTATACACACAAAATGCTTCATGAAATGATCCCTAATGAAAGCATTTTTATTCATTTAGGAAAGACAGATTCCTTTAACATGGACTAAGATAAGAAATTATGAGAATCTTTTTCTTTCTTTAAAGTTGACTAATACTCATGCACAGTGAAACACCTCCCCTGTAGCTGTATAATTGTTGTTTAACTTCCTTCAAAATAAGGCTAACAACATTTGAATTCCTGACTTAATGTGAAACTATAATAATACAAAACTAACCAAACATTAGTAGGCTGTAGATACCAAAATATGTTGCAAACAAGCAATCAGCAGGAGAGGTATTTAATAACCTGCTGGACTAGACAAATAGATCATGTTCTGCATTTTTTTTGCACTCATTTTGTAATATATATGTGAATAACACTTAAAAATACCTTCAAGTTTAGTTCAGGGCTAAAAGCAACTTTGAGAAATGACTGACTAAGAAATGCAAACTATATATTGCATTCGGTGATGCTACAGCTGCTTCACAAAGGCAGCAGATAAAACATAAAACTACACATTCATAAATATGTCTTATTTTATTATCAAAGTACATCATGTATATTTAATTGTTTATATTGATGGTAGGTACCAGGAATAGGTGAAAAAACATTTTATTAGAAATTTACACAGAGCTGAGGCATCTATTTCCTAAGAATGAAGAGACAGATAGGTACACAAAAGAGAAACACTACTGTTTATAAAGAAAAGCATAATCATGGTAGGAAGGAGGGAACAGAGCCATACCTTGAACTGTGAAAGCAACTCATCTCCTACAGTTAATGGACCTGGCTCATTTTCCCGAGTTTCAGCCCTCTTCAAGATTTCGTCTATATCCATTTCCTAAAGATTAAAAATAAAAAAATTTTTAAAAAAGAAGTTTGCAATTAAATAATTCATACATATTTTCAGCTGTTTTCTCTATCTAGTCCAGAAACACTACGTACTTGGGGCTCCTGTTCCTCTCCTTCGGGTTCTTTAAAAAGTTCCTCAGCACCAAACTTCAATATTGCTGACAGTTCTTCCTTATTAAAAGGTGTTGAGCTGAAATAAATGTTTCAGGAAAAACATTTAAACTTATTAACCTGAACAAGTTCTATATAATCAATTAAGGTTTTGTTTTCTGTTAAATGTAAA